TTTTTCTGGATGTAAATCACATTTTTTGGATGATTGTTTCCTCTGGTGTCAGATGTTGTGCAGCTGGAAGGATTTTTACTGAAACTTTTTTAGTTTTGGACATTTGTTATGATGCGTAACCATGGCAACAAGGCAGTTTCTACAACCAACAGCAGCTGATTAATATCTCAAAAGCTCAAGTAATATCTCAACTACAGCCCTAAATTTCAAATGAGTTGAAAAGGATGTTCTGTGGACGCATTTTCATCTACCTGCCAGCTGTGCTCGAGTGCCTGACCACTGAGATCCTGGAACTAGCAGGAAACACGGCTCATGACAGCGGAAGGACAGGATCGTCCTTCAGCACCTACAGTTGGCTGTCCGCAGCGATGAGGAGCTCAACAAGCTGCTGGGAGGAGTGGCCATTACCCTGGGAGGATTTCTGCCCAACATTCAGGTGATCCTGAAGCCCAGGAGGCCAACCAAGTGCAAGTAAACGGATCAACATCTGTGGCCAGTTTTTTCAGATCTGCTATAAGACGGACCATCACAAGAGATCCTTCCCGCCTACAACCATCAACATCTAGAACAACTCTTTTATGAAACAAGGAAAATGAGCTACTACAACATTTAATTTCCCTCTGGGATTAATAAAGTATTTTTGAATTGAATCGAATTTGAAAATGTTGGTAGACCTGATAGGCTGGACTTTCTCTGGGTCCCATGGTTCTGCACGTACTCTTGCAGCTGTGAGCTCGTTCTTCAGGTGTTCTGTTATCAGAACCAGCAACAAGACCAAGCCCACACTTTAAAATGATATTTAAGCTACTAATAAACACTATGGGTGATGATCATACTGTATATTGCTTTATGCAGGCTAGGCCATTGGTAAGGAGTGAGTATTACATTACCATTTCATATTGGCTAGTCATATTTTTGTCCCTAAAAGTTAGCTTAGACTACATTACATTTCTTAGACTGTGGCTAGGAAGGACATTAGTTATACTTTATGCCACTGCTTTATATGTAGGCCTATCTACTAGTTATGTTTGTAAGGTTAGCCCATATTAG